CTTTGGGGAAGAGGATTATAGGCTGGTAAACCTTTGCTCTATGTCTAAAAATCATATATGAGTGAGTACATACCATGTTTGTCTTTTTGTGATTGGGTTACCTCACTCAGGATGGTTTCTTCTAGTTCCATCCATTTACCTGCGAATTTCAAGATTCCATTGCATTTTTCTGCTGAGTAGTACTCCATTGTATAAATGTGCCACATTTTCTCTTTCCATTCTTCAGTTGAGGAGCATCTAGGTTGCTTCCAGGTTCTGGCTATTACAAACAATGCTGCTATGAACATGGTTGAACATATGTCCTTGTTGTATGGACATGCAGTATTTGGGTATATACCCAAGAGAGGAATGGCTGGATCTTGAGGTAGATTGATTCCCATTTTTCTGAGCAACCGCAAAATGGCAGGGTTTTTTTGTTTTTTGTTTTTTGTTTTTTGTTTTTTGTTTTATAGACAAAGTTCTAGTTCATCTTTAGGTAAGACACACCCATACCATTGTTTAAATCAACTCAAAATCAGTGATACTTTGAGTTACTGCCACTGTCACCACCACCTTGCTCCTTGGTTAATCTGCAGACCTGTATGAAGTGATCTGACTTTTAGAAATATTAAACACCAGAAATGAACACATTTATTTTAAGGAAGTCAGAGTTGGCAGCATTCAGCTTTTATGGGCATACTTGTTTTATATACTCATTATATAAAAGCATATGTATTGAATGTTTGCTATATACCCCCTCTTCTCCTTTCTAAATGCTAAGTAGGTTGAACTCTGCTAGGCTCCAGAGATTTAGGATCACCTGGCTATAGAACTAATCTTCTCCTATAATTTGTGTTTACTAGTGCAAGGTTATAGAGGGACCAGGGAAGAATTTTTACAGTAAGAGATTGACATTTAAAGATGCACAAAGACATTTAAGTCCTGATTAGCTCTGAGGATGCTGACTAGAAAATACTTGGCTAGACCTCAGGGGAGTCCCCACTGGAGTGCTATGAATCTGGGATGAGACCAATGAGAGAGGGCTGGAAAGTAACAGTACATAACAAGACCATTTCTCTCAGTAAGATCTCAAGCAGGAGGTGTGTTCTGGAAAATAAAAGTACAAAAGAAACACTTGTAGTTTGAATGCCCAGTGAGGGAGGAGTTATACAAAGAGAGGTTGAAGTCAGGAGAGTCTTGTGAAATCAGGCCAGGAACTCAGATCTCATTCAACTGCTGAAATAAGCTGGGGAGGGGGAGGGGAGGGGGAGAGGGAAGGCAACTGATGCCATTCATGTTTCAAAAGGACTGCTTCTAGCTACTGTCTGCAGAAAGACTTAAAAGGGGAAATGGCATCCCTGCAATCTATGTCCATTAGCCAAGCTAAGGCATGCTGGGAGGATAGAAGAGGATGATGGCAATAAAAATACCTAAAGAACTATCTTTAAAGTGAAGACCATAGAGCAAGTTGAAAAGATTCTTTGCCCACAAAGACATTCATCTTCTTCAGATGTTGTTATGTTAGTTAGCTCTTCTGTCATGATGACAAGATACCGGAGAAAACAACTCTAAAAGCAGGAGAGCTTCCGTGAAGTTCATGGTCTCAGAGTTTTCAGTGCAGGGGCAGCCATCATCATTGCTCCTGGACATGTTGTAAGGAAGCAACATAACTCTAGGGTGTGGTAGAGGAAAGCAGCTCACCTCTCAGTTTCCAGGAAACAGAGACGGGGGGGAGGAAAAAGGCATAGCTTTCAAAGGTGTGGCCCTAACACCATTTTTCCAAGTCAAAACCTTAATATGTGCTCACCAACAGATTAGCCCACTGAGGGGGCTAGTGCCCTCATGATCCATTTACCTCTCAGGGACACCCCCCTCCTCACATGCACCTTTCTGCAGAACAGTTTACAATCTCACTGTAACATTTCACCCCTGCACTAATGTCTCTCTCATCTTGGCACTGTGATAAACTATGTGAATGTGGCTAAAGCAATTTTGCAGTAGAAGAATTTACCTTGACTCTTGACTTGAGGGTAAAGTCCATCTGAACAGGGAGGCATGGTGACAGGAGCTGCTCATGAATGGTGTGGCAGGAATCCGAGTCTGCCTTCACACATCTTAGGGGATTGCCAATGCCCAGCTGGCTTTCTCATTTCCCCTGTGTTCATTCAGTCTAGGAATTCAGTCTAGGAGTTGATGCCATATACAATCAAAGTAGGACTTCCCCACACAGTTATTCCTTGGACATACTCAAGGTGACCCTTAGGTTTATTAACCCCGTCAAATTGACAGTCAAAATTAGCCATCCCAATACACCCCCCCAACTCATATTGCTGTCATCATACAAAATGTACTCAGTCCATCTCCAAGAATCCTTACATTCTTCTCACTTCAAGCATTGCACAAAAATTCCAAGTTCAAAGTTCCTTGTGAGACTCCAAGTAAACTCTTAGTTGTGAGCCCTGCAAATGAAATGGAGTACATATTTCTAGCATACAAAATCAGACACAGTACACACTCCTATCATAAAAAGAGGGTATAGAAAAAAAAGGAATTAGTAGACCAAAGCAAAACCAACACCTAGCAGAACAAATATCCCAAACCTGTCTGTCATCTTGAGCTCACAGTGGGGTAGTATGGGCTCCAAAGGATTTGAGAAGCACTGCCTGGTGACCATGCTGGTTGTCATTCCCATGTCCTCTCTCTGAGGCTGGTCCTGCTTGCTTTTAATAGCTTTGCCTGCAGACACTTTCTTTCCAAGGTCTTCATTGCCACCTCAGTTTCTCTCTCAGCTCCATCCGTTATTCTTTTAGGATCATCCTACAAAAATTTCAACTCTTTGGCATATGCTCTAGCTTCCTAAAGTGTAGTTGATATGAAAGAAGGCATTCCCAGGGCCCTGCCACCTGGCTGGTATCGATGTGATTGTAACACCTTTCTCGAGATAAGAAGGTGGATTTTGGTACTTCCCTGGGGAGAATCTCAAATGAAACCCATGTGTAACTTCCTTCAACCTAATTGTAATAGAAAGGTATATGTTTATGTGGAGTAAGAAGTTAAACAACTTGCAAACAGGTGGTTTTCAATTAATTAATCAATAGAGGCTTCTTGGTTTTCTTCAGTGCAAAACAAATAGAAATCCTATGAAAAGTAACTCATTACGCACGATGCTTTAAGAAGTAAATTAAGGACTGAGGATACGCTCCTTGGGTAAGGATCCTTGTTTTGCAAGCCTGGGGACCTAGTTTGAAACTCCAGCATCCAGAACCCAAATAAAGCTAAAGGCTGGGAATGGCATTGCTACCTGTGCCTAATAACCTCGGCATTTGGGGGTGGAGATAAAAAGGGTCCAAGAGTGCTCTGGACACCCAGCCTCAACAAATCAGCAAGTTTCAGCTTCAGTACAAAACTTGTTCCCAGGGA